TTGAGGATTCTGCACCATTTTTTTATGTTTCTGACCGTTTTTTGATCGTTTTTGCCCCGTTTTAAATGGATTTGTCCTGATTTCTGCTGATTTTGCCCCGTTTTTCCCCCGCAGTGAAGTTCCTGGCCTTCCTGAGGAAGAGGATGAACACCAACCCCTCCCGGGGCCCCTTCCACTTCCGAGCCCCCAGCCGCATCTTCTGGCGCACTGTGAGGGGTGAGAGAGACCCCAAAACACCCAAAAATCACCCCAAAAACTGCCCCAAAGTCACCCCAAAAACTCCCCCAAAAATTGCCCCAAAATCCCCAAAAACTGCCCCAAAATCCCCAATCCCCCTCAGCCGCAACTTCTGGCGCACGGTGCGAGGTGAGAGAGACCCCAAAACCACCAAAATTCACCCCAAAATCCTCCCCCTCAAACCCCCCCAAAATCCACACACACAGTCTGGAGTGAGGGGACCCCAAAAAACCCAAAATTTCCTCAAAAGTCCTCCCAAATTCTCCAAAATCCCCCAGAATCCCCAAACCCTCAGATTGCCCTAAATCCCCTGGTTGCACCCCAAATACAGAATTGCTATAAATCTCTCGATTTTCCTCCAGACCCTAAATTGCCCTGAAATCCCCGTTTTTCCCCCCAATTCCCCATGATCCCCCACTTTTCCCCCCAAACCCCGATTTGCCCTAAATCCTGGTTTTTCACCCCAATCCAGGCATGCTGCCCCACAAGACCAAGCGGGGCCAGGCGGCGCTGGAGCGGCTCAAGGTGTTCGATGGGATCCCCCCTCCCTACGACAAGGTGGGCCCCAAAATCCCCAGAATTCACCCCAAAATTCACCCCAAAATGCCCCGAATCCGCCCCAAATCCCGGTGTCGGTGATGTCACCTGTACCTACATTGTTTGACTCGAGATGAGAAAAACCCAAACCCTGAGACACCCGGGACCCCAAAAACACCAGAAAATTGGTAAAAGCCCAATAAAAATTTGTTAAAATCCCCCTGGAATCTTGTGATTCTGACCAAAATCACATGGAATACTAAAATCCCATAAAACCCCTAAAAAAAAAATAAAATCTCCCTCAAATCTGGTAAAATCCCCTAAAATCTTGCAATCCACAACAAAATCCTGTAAAAGCCTTAAAATCTCATTGAGTCTTCAAAATCTTAGAAACTCCCTAAGAAATCAGATAAAATCACAATGAAATTTTGTAATTCCCACCAAAGTCCCATAAATACCCTAAAATCTTACTAAATCTTCAAAATCCCAGAAACTGCCTAAAAGAATCCAATTAAATCTTGTAATCCCCACCAAAGTCACATAAAAATACTAAAATCTCATAAAATCCTTAAAATTCCATAAAATCTGATAAAATCCCCCTAAAATCTTGTAATTCCCACCAAAATCCCATAAAAACCTTAAAATCTCATTAAATCTTCAAAATCCCAGAAACCCCCCCAAAAAATCTGATAAAATTGCTATTACATCC